ATTGTGTACGAAATGTGCTATATAAATAAACTTGCCTTGCCTATTATAAACATGCATAAAATATTATTTGAAAAATATATAGCCTATATTATCTTGCAATTATTGTTTTGTTTTTTTCAACTCTCTATAGTACTGTGCTGTTAGATGTATTATTTGTCTATTTAAATCAGTTCCTTGAATCAATTTATTCTGAAAATAATCATCATTATAAATGTATATTATTTGAATATTTAGTTTCTATTTTCTTACAATTATATTCTTTCCCCAACTCACTATAGTACTGCGCTGTTAGATGTATCATTTATTTAAATCAATTTTTAAAAACAATTTATTCAGTAAATAATTATTATTTAAATACATTTTGTAATTGATTTGTACTGTGAAAAATTAATAAAAAAAATTAAATGAACAGATAATACATTTAACAGCACAGTACTATAGTGAATGAAAAAAAAGCATAATAGAAAGTAAATGTTTCCCAAGTAATATTTTAAAAAAAAATTTTTCATATTTTATTCTAAATTACTAATGAAAATGCTTGTTGACAAAGGGTTTTGATGAGTAGCAAATATCCAGGTGAAAGTTAAATGTGCTTATTTTATTATTACTTATTAGTCAAAAGTTTGTCCAACTCATTTTAAACAATAAATATGTAAATGTATTATTGTATTTGCTATAAATATAACTTTTTTTTTTCATTTATATTAAGTTTTCCATGACTTTTTAAAGTGTAGTAGTTGCCAAGACTATGGGAGTCACTATCAATATATCAAATTAATTTGATTAATTAATCGGCATAAGTAATTAACTCAAAAATGTATTTTGACAACCCTCATTTTTAGTGAAAATCTGTTTAGCATTACATTTGATATCAATTCATCATTAGGAAGCAAAAACATTTGAGTTGTATTTTTTTCAGACAACAACAAACTGATTGACCAGTCCATTTAAACGTAGTGTAGGATTATAATGGTTTGTGGTTGAATTAAAGTGAAACTTACCGCTGTTCTTGAGGATCTCCAGCACCTGGATCAGCACATCAGGCCGAGTCATCTGCACAACACAAACGAGTTAATAACAACACAGTAAAACGCACTGACATGTATCCACAGAAGCAGCTGGTGAACGTCTGCTCAGACTCACAGAGGAGGGATAAGAGACGTCGATGTTGACGTCACTCGTTTTGAAGGCGAAGCGGGTGAGACAGGAGCCGTACAGATGGAGAGAGCACGCTAAGAAAGGATGAGTGAAGAATTTAAACATTCAGCAGACCGGAAGACTTTTTCTTGACTTTCTTTCACTTTTTCGTTTTTACATTAAGTTTACTTACGTTTAGTGCAAGCTTTTACCCAAGCAGTGTACCTGTGAGTTGTTTGAGTATAATCCCCTCCATCCTGAGCACCACGGCTTGCCTCAGCGCGAAGTCTTCCTCCGAGATGCCATGCACCTCTGCCGCTTCCAGCACGGCCGAGTCTAGCACCCTCAACTGGGCCGGAGAGGGACCCGGCAGCGCTCGCAACTCATTCTCCTCCTGCTTCTCCTACAAACGTACATAAACAAGAAAAAACAAAAAAAAACAATAAAAATGAGTCAAATCCAATATTTAGCTATAACATCTTTCCTGAGAGGGTTTTAGCATGCTAACAGTGTCATGCAGCATTCTATAGCAAGCCTGATAACATAATTTATATAATTTCCAACATTTTTTGTGGGTAGAACATTACAGCATTTCAGCGGTTTGGTTCAGAGTTATTATAGTTAAATAAGCTAAAACCATAAAAACATTACTTGAAATAAAATAAAATATATTTTTTAAAAACTACCAAAAAACACACATTTTGCCAAGGCAACATTTCTCATTTTCATTTAGTTTAACTTGATGTACTAAATAAATATAACTAAATTGAAATAAAATAATACAAACTATATAGACATAATAAAAAAAAATTTAAATCAAAATAATATAACTAAATTACTAAAACTTCAACAAATTAAAATGAAAGGAAAAAACAAAATATTAATAAAAACTGCAATAGTATCTCAATAAAATACTCAAAATACTAAAATAACACTGGCTGGATTCCTAAAACCCCAGTGTGAATGTAATGTGGACTGAGACACTATCACAACTAAAAAAAGGTTTGAGTCTACAAGATCAAACACTAACTAAAAAAGATTAAATATTTTATCTATTTATATGCATGTCATGTGACCATTAATCAACAGCTGAGAACATGCAATAAATGACTGAAATATTAATTAAAATATCAGAGGACACTTCATGTAGATATCGGCTGACATAAAAGTTTGGCAACAGAAACTAGCACAGAAAAACCTACTCTAAGCTTAAAGTCACTGTGGATTTTATAGACCACAGAAAAACCAGCACAGAAGGAAGTCCTCACCATGATGTTCTTCTTGTGACGTTTCTCTTTAATGTGCTTGTGAGCACCCTGGATGTTTTCCACGTGGACTGAACACAGTTTGCATAGATACTGGAAATTCGGGTACTCCGGTGACGGCTGTGGAAATACACAACGAAAGAGAAAGCAATCACTAGGGCTGTGTTTGATAGATCGATACGACGATGTATCGTCACATATTACTTGATGACGCGGGTATCGATACCGCAGTACGTGCGCAGCAGTGGACCGCGCTTAATTTGAATACAAGAACAGCGTTTAAATGGAGTGGAAAAGTGCAAGGTTTCTACAAAATAATGAGTATAATATATAGGCTACAACAAGGTTTAATCTGGCCGCAGAGGAACACATATGAGGAAAACACATGCCTGATATAAAGAGACGTAATCCCCAAAACAGTGCTTCACACTTGCGCAATACAGAAATATCTGCTAAGTGTGTTACTTATTTTTGTCAACCTGGCAGCCATGTGCACGCGCTCTCTCTCCACTGTGGATAAAAGCGCTGGCTTTCTGAAAACACTGGTAAGCTTGCAACGATTTTTTCTGTAAATGTGACCTGCCGATACCGATTTTTGCCAATTGTGGAGAGCATGACGTGCTAACGGAAGAAATCAAGAGGCGCTCAATGACTCGGATTTGATTAACGAGGCACTTTTCACTGTCATTCAAAAGCCAAATCAGCTAGTGAGCGTGAAAACATGCGGTCACACTTATATTGATATTCGGGACAGTTAGATCAGCATTTGAGTTAAAGCAAATATGAACTAAAGAGACTCATATTTGTTTGGCACAAAATTAATCCTAAACAGCAGTAAAAATGTAAAATTAAAAAAAATAAATTAAATTAAAAAAAAATAAAATAAAAGAAACCTTGAATATAATTAAAGTAATCCTGTAAAATTAAATAATATATAAAATACAAATAAATAAATATAACCATAAATAATGCCATAAAAAACAAATAAATCCTGAGATAAACAAATAAATAAATAAATATATAAACTACAAATAAATAAATAAAAAGACAAATAAATGAATAAATAAAACTTAACTAAATAAAACCATAGACAGATAAACAAATAATAAAACCACAATTCAATCAGAAAAAAAACATGAATAAAATCATAGATAAATAAATAAAAGCATACATAATTAAAACTGTATATAAAAAATAAAAAAACAAACGAGTAAATAAAACCATAAATAGGTAAATAAAAAAACTAATAATAAAACCACAAATAAATAAAAGCATACTTAAATATTTATTTACTGTTGTATTTAAGTAAATAAATAAATACTTTTTTAACGTGAAAGTTTCCAGGGTCATTTGTTCATGACAGGAGTTAACTGTAAAATAAAAAACAAAAACAAATAATATAACCACAAATAAATAAATAAAACCATAGATAAATAAAAGCATACATAAACAAAATAGTAAATAAATAAATGCATGCATACTTTTTTAACGTGAAAGTTACCAGCTTCATTACAATTCACAGCAGTTATCTGTACACTGACAGGGCAAACAAATTATTCTGTATAACACATATAATGTTCAAGTCTTGTTGCTACACCTTTAAAACACTTCAGCATCCATGACCTTTACATTAGAAAACCTGATAAGTATGGTTGAACTAGTCAAACTGATCTTCTGTGGTAATCTACATTATCACAAACACCGTCAGACACTGTGAACAAACAAGTATAACAGTACTAGTTCCTGATTAAATATCCATGCAGTGTTTGTGTGCAGGACGTGTCTTACCTTGAGCAGCCGGTGGATGTAGTCCCTCTGCAGTCTCTCCTCTGCCTGTTTGAGTCCCAGCTGCTGGTCAGAGGTCAGGATTCCAACCTCCACAACCTCTGCTGTGACCTTGCCTCTCTGTCTGCCCGCCTCCACACCTGAGATTTAAAGAATGTACCGTCGATAAATATCTATATCGTTTTATCGCCCAGGCCTAGTATATATATATATATATATATATATACACACACACAATTACGCAGATTGTATATATTAAATAATTAGTAAATAATAATAAAATATACACAACTGCATCGATTAAATTATTTCACACAATATAAATTTTACTCACTTAAAAATAACATTTGGACAGAAAAATCAAACGTGGATATAGTTCTGGCAGGTCACGTGATTCAAGCTTGCATCAGCTGATCCATGTCTACCAATAGGAATATGACGCCTATCACGGCATTCCTAGATAAGGTCTATTCAGAATTATTCAGCAGCTTTATCGCTTGCTCAAGAGCAAATCAGACTGCGAATTTGGCGAATTCCATCTCTATAGGAAGCGTTCAATCAGGAATTTTGTGAGGGGTTCGGAACGATTACATACACACGGTTTCTCACCAGATTCAAGTTCGTGAACTTGAACTTGAATTCGCCGCATTGATTGATATGAGCTGCAAGCTTGAAAGTGACCTGAGCGAGTACTGCTTCTCGCAGCGATATATCATTGACATGGACTCTTTGCCCGCAAATCATCGCTGAAGTTGTGCTATAATGTGACTGCATCAATAACAGTTTACACGAGATCTGGAAGGAGTAAGATCTCAAGAAGGGGATCAAGCATCCACGTCACAGCTGGCTATATTTAACCCTTTATTCATCGCTGAATGTCTTCACAAAGCTAAGCCAAGTTTCTTCTTTTATTCTCATTGCTTAAAGGGATAGTTCATCCAAAAATGAAAAGAATTATGGCAGAAATGTAAGCCCATAGAAACCGAACAGTATTTATATCATTTTTTACCTCTAATACACCACTATGTCCAACTGTCTTTGGGCGCGCGCAGGCATCCGGTGTGTGAGGCGTGTACGCGCTCGGGCGTAGTTTACGCAAGCGCCGGAAGTGATCTCTCGCGCATATACGTCACTCATTGTTTACACAGTGCACAGTCATTGTAGGTACGACGGCTAATCAAAATGGTACTTACTTGCGCTTATCCGGATTGTTCAAACCGACTTAAAACTAAAAGATTACGTTCTCTCGCGCGAACTCATTCGGGAGTGGTGACTTTCCACGTATTCCCAACTTCTGAGCCTGCTCGCCTGAAGTTATGGTTGATTGCTCTTCGGCTGGATATCAACACACCCATTAACGTAAACTATGCCAGAGCGCGTACACACCTCGCGCATCGGATGCCGTGTGCGCGCTCAAGGAAGTTGGACATTGCGGTGAATCAGAGGTAAAAAATGATATAAATACTGTTCGGTTTCTGGCACAAACCGATCGTTTCGTGTCTTAGGACATCAATGTGTTGTCACGAGCCGCAGGGTTTAATTTGGATTTGTCTGTGCATGTTTTTTTTACTCTCATAGATTTTGTTACCATTGCCATGCATTATACGACTGATAGACTGCAACGGTTGGACTTAAAAATCATCATATGTGTTCTACTGAAGAAACAAAGTCACCTACATCTTGGATGCCCTGGGGGTAAGCAGACCCTGGATGAACTATCCCTTTAAAGCTATCAGGGTATTGGCAAATATTGATCATTGTTTAAGGCTAGTTGTTCAGTGACATGCTTGTTGCTAGGCATGCTAAACAGTTATGGATACAAATATGGATATTTTTCTTACAAAAACGCATCGACTCGCTACAGAAGGCCTTTATTCACCCCTTGGAGCCATGTGGAGCACTTTTTATTATGGATGGATGTGGTTTATTGGACTTCTTTTGGACTGTTGAACTGAAACACCCGGCCACTGCCATTATAAAGTTTGGAAGAGCCAGGACAATTTTTAATATAACTCCGATTGGATTCGTCTGAAAGAAGGAAGTCATATACACCTAGGATGGCTTGAGGGTGAGTAAATCATGGGCTAATTTTCATTTTTGGGTGAACTATCCCTTTAACCATCTCAAATTATCCAGATATCATTAGATTGTGAATGCCTGTTTCTCACCGGGTATCTTGTCTTTAGCGGTGATGGTGTTGTCGTGTGTTGAGATCTCCTCTGCTGTACTGGTCAGCGGTGCTGCTCCTCCATCTTTGACCGGTCCACTGTTTCGAACCGGAGTTTTGTTCTCCTGGTTTTGCTGACGGCCTTCACTCGGCTGGGGCTTCCCTTTCCCCCTCTCGCCAGAGTTAGTTCTGCCTGTCAGCCTGCGGGCTTTGCCCTTCCCCGGCTCCTGAGGGCTGCCGGTGCGGGTCCTGAAAGCGCTGGGGCCGCCCTGGATCTCCTCTTTCACCCTGGGGACGGCGTCCTTGCTTCGGCTCGGGACTTTGGCGCTCTCCCACTGGGGTTTGGAGGACGGCGTCTTGCCCCCGCACGAGCGGGAAGATTTGACCACTTTCACGGGGCTTTTGGGGTCCTCCATGCCACTCTACTGCTCTCCGGACGAGACTGAAGAAAAGCCCGAAGGGCTCTGGGTTGAAGGTTTCTGGAGCGGAAACATGACAGAATCAGATTGTGGGGATCCAAAAATATTTGTGCATGGAAAGTTTAAGAAATCAGGAAGAATCTGGCAATATTGGGAAGTGAATACTAGCTTAGTACTTGCTACATTTTGCACGTTTAATTCAATGAGTGGCATCTAGTCATGATCTCGGAAATATTATTTATACAATTACATATATTAATTTTATTCTAATTAATTAATATGGAAATATTACTTTTAGACAGGCAAAGAGAGAATCAAAAAAGCATACATATAGAAAGGATAAGTGTCTGGACCCGTAAAAAAATACTAACATTTGTTTCCCGGGGATTAATTTTACATAATCACGTCTTCATATCACATCACGCACCTGCAGCGCTTCTGCGAGTGGAGAAAAACATAATAAAGCTAGGCTATAGGCCTATATATAGATATATAATGACAAATAGGCCTATACGAGAAATATATTTTTACTTAAATAATAAATTAAGAAAATGAAAGAAAAACTGTGCAACAAGTAGCCTATATGCAGAGTTTCGGTTCATTTTTGTGCTGCGCGAAAGGAAACAGACGGCAGAAAGCGGCATCCTATTTTTCTTTAGGTTTATTTTACAAAAGCACAAAGATTTGTTTTTATTGTGAATGTACACAAATAAAGGCAAACCTTTTACAATTCCGATTATCTTTATGACTAAAAGGAGTAGTTGCTTCCACTGTTAGAAGGAAAAAATTCTAATGATTGCGCCGGCGCCGCATGCGCGCACACAGTTAAGCATTACTACCTTGACAATGCAGCCTGCAACAGGCTTCCATACTAGTTAGTTTGAACATGTCACAATCTACTATTTACTTAATACCGCACAGTTTTAAATTGATGAACTTGATGAATAATTTCGTATCTAAGCATTTTATCAGTTCATGCAGTCACTTGGAATCGAACCCAAGCCCTTGTGCTACTGACAGTATACACTGCCTACTATTTTTTTTAAATATATACTGGATATTTTAGCAAATGCGGTAAAGTCAGATCACATAATGCATACAATATTAAGATTATTACAGAATAATTGCCAAGAACGCACAATAGCATCATTAATAAATGGTTTCCTGCTTAATTAAATAGTTAATAATAATAATTATTATTATTATTATTATTATTGCATTCTATGTCTGCATTTAATATTAAAATTAATATTAAAAATCTATAAAATAAATCACATATTATTAATTTAATAATACATTAATTTAAATAAATTTTTCCAAAGATCTTATTAAAACAACAGTTATAGTATGATAGTATGTAAAATATTATATTTTTAGGATCGCTTTTATCATACAGTATCTGAAAACATTTCTAAAGTTGTAAGGAATGCGGACGCTTGTGATTGGTTGTTTGGGCCGCGCGTAATTAAAGTTCCGCTCATTCCTCTCACTCGTCCGTCTGCTCTATCGAGGAGTTTCACAGCATTATTATGGGGACGATTCTAAGAGCGCTTACTTTCCTGTCTCTATCATGTCTGGCCGAGGCCAAACAGAACGACTTTTACTCGTTTAAGGTGGTGAACAGCAGAGGGAGGTTAGTTTCTCTGGAGAAATACAGAGGATCGGTGAGTCCTCAGAAATCAGCTCTGATGCTGCAGACGTAAGATGCAACTAACGTGCATGTAAGAAAAACCTTTAATACTAATGTTACATCACTGTGTGCTTTTCTCATGCATGCTTTAATGGTGTTGTAAAATTTCCTCACTTCTAGTATTTCCCTTAATAAATAAACTAACCAGCAGTCTGGAATTGTGCTTCATTCATTCATTCTGTGTCTACGTGGCAGCCTCGCAGTATATCTCAGCTCCTGCTGTGGATTTCAACAGCATGGTTTGCTATTTACCAATAAGGGAACACTTCGGAATAACTTTCATTAATATTAACATACATTGTTGCATAATACTTCTGAGATAAGTACTGCACAAGATTCGAACAAATTGATTTTGAATGTACGTGAACTGCTGATCAGTCCAGCATTATTTTTTGTTAGCTTTACAAACATTATAAATTATTTTAAAGTTTTACATGCTATAATTTATAGCATTATGGAAGGCCTCGCTGTACTTCACTGTTTTATTAAAAACGTAATTTATTTGTGCATAAATATTTGGATGCATGGTTATATGCACAACTCATTTTGAGTCACTAGGTGTCGATGTTGAATAACTTTGAATTGCTGTTCTTAAATCCTTGAAGTCTCTCTAAACAGTCAACAACCCTTTATTATATTATATATTATATTATATTATATTATATTATATTAATACTGAAGAAAAGTAAGTTCTGAATCTGAGCTAAGATCTTTAGTTCAAATACTAGTTTCATTGATGTTGGTGTAATCAAATGGTTAATTCAATCATATTAAAGGAACAGTTCACCCAAAAATTAAATTTTTCATAAAATGTACTCACCCTCAGGCCATACAAGATGTAGATGAGTTTGTTTCTTTTTCAGAACGGAGTTGTGGAAATGTAGAATTACATCACTTGCTCACCAGTGGATGCTCTGCAGTGAATGGGTGCCGTCAGAATGAGAGTCCAAACAGCTGATAAAAACATCACAATAATCCACAAGTAATCCACACCACTCCAGTCCATCAGTTAACGTCTTGTGAAGTGAAAAGCTGCGCGTCTGTAAGAAACAAATCCATCATTAAGGCATTTTAAACCATCGCTTCTGTCTAAAATATGAGTCCATAATAATGATTCCTCCAGTGAAAAGTCCATCACCTGCAGTTCTTCTCACATCAAAATCCACCCACATATTTGTTTAGAACTGTTTTGCTTGTAAACGGTGCTTGATTTGTGCAGATTTCTCTCCTGATTGAGACAAGATTACTTTTTCACTGAAGTAAACGTTATTGTGGACTCATATTTTAGCCGGAAGCAACAGTTTGAAGTTAAAACACCTTAATGATGGATTTGTTTCTAAAAAAAACACGCAGCTTTTGGCTTCACAAGACATTAACTGATGGACTGGAGTGGTGTGGATTACTTGTGGATTATTGTGATGTTTTTATCAGCTGTTTGGACTCTCATTCTGACGGCACCCATTCTCTGCAGAGGATCCATTGGTGAGCAAGTGATGCAATGCTACATTTCTCCAAATCTGACTGATTTAGATACTTGTGAATTGAGCACACTTTTTACCGGACAAAACTTTTTTTTTTATTGTACTCCTAATAACTATCACTACCTTTACTACCACAACTGCACCACTCCTCCTACAACCTACAACTACTGTGATAAAATAAATTAATACAGTACATTTGTCTTTAGTAGCTCATTACATGCAATCTGTCATCCTTTTAAGTGTAGTAGTAGTAGTAGTAGTAGTAGTAGTAGTAGTAGTAGTAAAGCCACCAAATGCAATGTCAATTTTAACACTAAACAATGAATACAATCATTAAGTGCTTTTATTAACAGCAGGCTTAATAGAGATGAGGTGTTTTTCAATCTGTATCAGAAGAGCTGATGTTCTAGTTCAAGGGCTGATCAGCACAGGAATCGTGTGTAGTATACATTTATGGAAACATCAAATTTACACAAGGACACGTGTACATTCAATTATCATTAAGAAGACTTAAAGGAAGTGGAGCGGTAAAATAAAGACTCAAGGGCAGAGAGAAAGTCCCATTAATGACGTCACAGTGGCTCTTCACTCATCCAGTGACTCAGAGCTGCTGTAGATTGGCTCTAATGGCTTCATTTGGCTTTTAGACCATAATTGGTGTTCATGGTCACATGGATTCAAAAGCTTCACACAGTTTAACAAACAGAGACCCTGTGTGATTATGATCATAAACCTTCAGTTTGATTCAAGAACAACTAAAACAAAAGGAAGCAGAAAGTGCGTTGGAGAACTGCTGAACAACAGTATCTATCTATCTATCTATCTATCTATCTATGATCGTAGTAGTCATATATGGCGTATGATGTTCTTGATTTTTCTGTACTGTATTTGTAGGCGTCACTGGTAGTGAATGTGGCCAGCGAGTGCGGTTACACAGAGGAGCACTACAAAGACCTCCAGCAGCTGCAAAAAGACTTCGGTTCGTTTCATTTCAACGTTCTGGCCTTCCCCTGCAACCAGTTCGGCCAGCAAGAGCCCGGCAGCGATAAAGAGATCGACAGCTTTGTGCTGCGAGTCTACGGGGTTTCTTTTCCCATCTTCAGCAAGATCGCTGTGGTTGGAATAGGGGCCAATAATGCTTACAAATATCTTGTGGGTGAGTGCAACAGGTTTGATGATCGCGAGGTCCCAGCTAACAAAAATATGCTCTGATAATGTTCTCTGAACATTCCGTTTTTTAATGTTTTTTAAAAACTTTTTTTTTTCTTATGCAAACTTTAGAGAGAACATTCCATTAACATTCCAAATAACATTCCATTTGATAATTTTTGCATGGGAACGTTACTTCCCATGCAAACGTTGCAGGGGAAGTCGTGGCCTAATGGTTAGAGAGTCGGACTCGTAACCCAAAGGTTGCGGGTTCGAGTCTCGTACCGGCAGGGATTGTAGGTGGGGGGAGTGAATGTACAGCACTCTCTCCCACCTTCAATACCACGACTGAGGTGCCCTTGAGCAAGGCACCGAACCTCCAACTGCTTCCCGGGCGCCGCAGCATAAATGGCTGCCCACTGCTCCGGGTGTGTGTTCACGGTGTGTGTGTGTTCACTGCTGTGTGTGTGCACTTTGGATGGGTTAAACGCAGAGCACTAATTCCTAGTATGGGTAACCATACTTGGCCACATGTCACTTCACTTCACTTCACTTTTGAATATTTTCTGAATGATGTTTAAATAATGTTTTGAGAATGTTATTAAACACCAGATGACCTTAATAAACGAACATTCTATTAACAATACCGGAAGAACGTTTGTTCATAACTTTGCCAGAACGTTCCCTGTTAGCTGGGGTTACAGTGGAATCAAAAAGTATTTAAACACTTAAAGGGATA